TTAAATCAAACTTGCGAATAAACTTAATTTTCAATATTTAGCAATCAAAAAACATTTTAAAAAGTATTAAAATAATCGGTTTTGTAAACAACAACTAAAATATTGTTTATATATATATAGAAACAAGTTTCCATGATATCCGAAATCTGGTTTTACATAAACAACAAATAGTTGGTTATAAATGATTTCATTTTGTGTATTCTAAAATGTGATGTACACATACATAAAATGACGAATTCTAAGCAAAGAAGGATAATGGTTAGCAATGGAATTCAGGATGCGTGTTTCTTCTTACTCGGAACTCGTCAGTTGGATGTACCTACATCTTAGAGTTGATGTTCACTCTGGGACTTGAACCTAGTACCTTTCGCCTCAAACGCATCGCATTATCCACTTGGCTATCAAGACTCAGTGGCCGAAAGGTACTGGGGTTCGAGTCTCAGAGTGAACATCAACTGTAAGATGCAGGTACATCCAGCTAACGAGTCCCACACAGAACGAAACGCGCGTCCTAGCCACTATCCATTATTGCTTACTATAAATAATTACACTCATTCTCGTCCATTTACTGGCTGACCTAGGTTCTTTATTTTTAACCCCGTCACCAATTGTTAATCCACTGGAGTCTCCCCGCGTTCGGGTTCGAATCCCATCACCGTGCCACTGACATGTCTTCTGATTGAACGTTACTTTGTTATATCTGGTTATCGCTAATTAGTATGTCAGAATTGCTTATCACTTATACTGGAAAACGAGGAAACACTGCAATTCCAAGGACATTAAAGTAGAACACAAAGACTGGTACAAATAAAGGTTTACTAAAGCCAAAACATAATGACAACAACAGTAATCAACAATACAATCATTTATATATTGACCATACACCTATTTTGATTAATAATTAAGATGAAATCACATATATGCAAAAATACTTACATAGGTGAAAGCGTGAGTCAATTACAGCTAGACCACCAGGGAAAACCTGCAAGCACTCGACAGTCATTTCGTCCTTTTGTGGGACTCCTCAGCAGTACGCATTCATGTGATGTCGGCTCAGTGGTCTATCGGTTAAGTGCTCTGACGCGAAAATGGTATGTCCTGGGTTCGAATCTTAGGGGGAGAGGTCGTGGATGCACACTACTGAGGAGTCCCACAATAGGACGAAACGACCGTCGAGTGCTTGCAGGTTTTCCCTGATGTTCTAGCTTCAATTGAATCACGCTTTCAACTATGAAAATACTAAATCTCCAAAAAAACCCTTCTCATCCTAAAAATACTTACAGTTATAACGAATCATATGCTACATATCATGATGAGCATAGTTCAAATCAAATTGGATACAAGAGCATGATATGTTATACAAAATAAAATGTGATACAGGAAAGCAAAACAAACAAAAATGAATGTTGAACAAAAATCATGATGAGTAGATCAATCTAATTTTGACTTTTCACCTCATCATATCAAACTATCGGTAATGTTTTGATGAATTTCGGTCGTTTTAATAAGTCGATTTTATATAATTCCATTCAAACTGATATAATTTGGTTCAGCGAACAACCTTTTGAATTACATACTGTAATGAAGAACATGTACTGTGATTATATCCACTGATTAGGTATTGATCATTACAAACTTATCTGTTCTAATTACAATGACTTAAGAAAACTAGAAATCGATGTTGTAGACCATCAACGTTGATGATCTATGTCGAATGATTGGAGGCCTACTCGAGTTAGACGGGAAAGGTGTAACGAACAATCTAACTTCGAAGTTACATCTCGCGATCAGCACCTTATGTGGATTGCCCCATCGACCTATCAAGAGACTATGGATTATTATTATTACAGGAATATATTATTTAAATTATATACAAGCGAAAGTGGAACCATTGCCACATGAGCCAGTTCATGACGTATGATTAACTGATGCACGTTGATTGTCCTTGACCTTGACGGGGATCGATGATCTGTTGGATATTTAGTAACCCAACTGCCTGATGATTTGGCTAGGGTTTAGTGACATTTCACTGGCCCTACAATGTCATATAAATTATAAACTAATGGATCTCAACAGACAAAACAATATAAGGAGGAACTTAATTGATTTCCAATCAACAGTCCATATGTTCTAATTTCACATTTGATAGTTTCACTAGCTTATATATGAAAAAAGTGACTCCATGTCACATACAAGTACTTGTGACAAATAAGTAATTACAACCAAAATGGTTTATAGATAAAACAATTCAGTACTTAAACTTACCTTTCTTGTTAAATAATACTTGATTATGAATAAAGTACTTCACATCATAGAAAATCAAAGTAATAATGTAAAAAGTAAATGGTTAAGGGTTAAACGTCTTTGTGAATAGTTTAACAATTAACTAAACGGTCATCTAGTTGACACACCTTTATTCGATTTTGTTATGCCCCGATAAGCGGGGAAACGGTATTGAAGTAAAACATTATGTGAAACAGTTGAAATAGATCAATGAAAAGAATTGTTTTATTTATTTATTTAAAAACATAAATATTGGTACAAGGAAGTACCAGATACATATCCGCCCCACAAATCAAATGAGATTTGTGTGAGGGCTGTGATACTACACAGGTGCCCAAACCGAAACAGGTACTTTTCTTAGAGGGTCACACCCCTAGCCTTTGACCTAAAAGTCTGATCCACAAGGCGATGGAGTATCGTAATGAAATGCAGTCCCATGGTAGCTGGTGACCAACGATTGATTCATACGCCATTTGTTCCCTCAGGATACTGGAGCCCATGTGCACCATTGGTTTGGAATCAGGGTTTGACAATTACCCTAGGTGAACTTTTCGTGTCCACCAACGCGGTTAAAGCGCCAGACATTCGCTTTTCGTCCTCTCAATTTCGTAAATAACAGTAATGCTACGAGAAGGCAGTGAGTAGGACTTCCCTGGCAGGGGCTATATACGCGTGTTCATGTTAGAGCATTTGGAGAGGGAGAGCGGACTCTCCCCACTCTCGGCCGTACTAGGGCATTTGGGGGCTCTTTTGAATACAAATAATAACCACTGAACATGATATGTTCTCTAATTAAAATTGCTTATCATTTTAAACATATAAGCCTTATATTTTGGCACACATTTCATTATTTGTTTACTGATCTTTACAACACTTTTCAACTCATTCATTCATTATATTTATTAATGTTAGTTCACATAGATAATTGTCGTAAACTACGACTATTTTCAATGTACAACAAATTTGAAGTTATAACTACAGTGAACCTGAAAACAATGTGAATGGAAATTAGTAAATAGTTCTGATGTTAAACATCAAGTTAGTTAGTTAGTTTACACAAGGTCAGATGAACTGGTACTGAGTGTAGGTCAATAAAAAAACCAACAAACAGAGAATTTAATTTAGACGTTCCGTTAGTTTCTCATTACGCCTCCACACTAATATATATACATATATATACCCTCTTCAACGACGTCGTTCTGAAGAAGAATGAAAGCTACACGACCAAACCATCCAGCTCAGAGAATAAAAGTCCATCAAAATCATCTACTTGAGCTACAAATCTTCTCCATCACGCAATACAATGAACAGCTAGCATACAACTAGAGGATTTGAACTTCTCAGACTGTCTAGCTTATTTATTCCATACAGATCAACAACTGCAGGTCATGACAAACAGTGTAGAAGTCTCTAAACCAGTAGTTTTCAACATACAAAAGTGAAAAAGCAAGATCCTAAAACACAGCACGGAGAACACTCACCCAATCACACTTGAAGAAGCTATGGAAGAGGTGGAAAGTTTTAAGTACCTGGCCAGCATCATTGGTAAACAATGAGGATTGGATGCACATGTGAAGGCACAGACTAGAAAAGCAATTGTAGCATTCTTACAGTTGAAGAACATATGGGACTCAAAACAAATGTAAATCGACATCAAAGTTAAAATTTCTGATACAAATGTAAAGATTGTTTTGTTGTATAGACTTGAGACTTGTGGATTTACTACAACCATCGTTGAAAATGTCCAGGTATCTATCACCAGTTGTTTACACAAGCTACTCTATATCCGCAGGTTAAACATCACCACGAACAAGCTGCTGTGGGAGAGAAAAAATCAACTTCCAGTTGAGCAAATAAGAGAAAGACGCTAGGGGTGGATAAAACATACATTGCAGAAATCCCCAAACTGCATTATGAGATAAGCCCTAAACTTGGAATCTTGGAAGGAAGAGGAAGACCAAGGAACACTTTGTGCCGGGGATCGGAAACGTATATCAAAAAAATAAATAGCACTTGTCAAGAACAGAAAAGGAAGGCCCAGGACAGAGTTGGTTGGAGAATCCTGGTTGGCGGCCTATGCTCCACAAAGCGTAACAGACATGGGTCTATAAATGAGTAACTATATATACTGACTGACGCATTTCATTACCATGTTCTGTGTGCAATACTACCAAAAATCTTCTTGACTGACTGAAAATAAGTGATTATTTAACTTAACAATAAGCGTTATGCCAATATCTTAATTCCGTTAATTCCGTCAAATTCAATTAAATTTCATGTCAAGGTTTGCTAAATGGTAACAAATATAGATTTTGAATTCAGAAGTTTCACGTATATCTCAAATTGTTTTCAACTGGACAAAAACTGCAAATTGAGCCTGAATACATTTTACTGTGTAACAATTAAACATTACTATCTAATAAATGATTGTTTAAACAATCTACAAGAATAAATTCTCATGGTATTGTTTGGTTGAATCTCCCGGTTGATGTTTAGGACTGCGATTGATCAGCCTCGTATTACTAATCAAGACTCAGTAGGTAAGTGGATAACGCGATGACGTTTGAAGCGAATGATACTGGGTTTAAGTCCCAGAGTGGACATCAACTCTGAGATGAAGGTACATCCAGCTGAAGAGTCCCAAATGGGACGAAACTCGCGTCCTGGGTTTCACTGCTAGCCACCATCCATCTTGGCTTATAATCTACAACAATGTTGTGTAAAAGTGTATATTATTTAGAAAAAAAAGTAGAAAAAACAAACATTCCATACATGACAATTCATGATACCATACACACAAGATTCAATGAGTTGAAAACAATAGTTTTATTTTGTTGTCTTGCCACCATGTTTATTGAACCATTCATCACTTTTATCTGAGGCTATAGCTGATTGTAGTAAACTATCCGCTTGTGGATCCACTTGTGACAACTGTCTAAAAGCTTCATCTCCAACAAAACAGATTTCATGACCATCCTGAATAAGAGGTAATTAAGTAAACAGAAAAGAAAATCCACACTAAATACAGTACAAAGTCAAACCACAGTGAAATTCTAGTGTAACGGGTGGTTTAAAAGGATTTTTCCCACATATATTACGATAACACGTTAACACAATAATAAGACTAATCACGCTATATCAGAAAATCAATAAAGCGAAGGGAAATTATTTAATAGTTCGTAGGCTGTAGCTGCTCATCCACATTCAACGACCAATCATATCTTACAATGCTTTCTATCACATTCATTTTGTGATGGGCTAATGACACTTCCTATTGCTTGTGCTAAAGCATATAGATTGTGATTTTAGTTGACATCATAAATACAGACGTCCAAGTTGTCAAACAGCTGAATGACAGCTTAATATTTCAAAAATCTTGCAAAATTCACAATCAAATCAAGCATGGTAATGTTACGTCTGGCCGATTGTGCACGCTATATTTGCTTCCCTAAAATAGTTCCGTATCCCCGAGCTAGAACTATACACCAACTTGAAGACCAGAGAAAAGGCACAAAGTATGAGGGAAGCGCTTTACTACAGGATTCATTTATGTACAGAAAATACAGGGGTTTTATAGTAATTAGGAAACCTTGAGTTTCCATAGTAGCAGTGTGTTAAACAGCCAATCAGGACCTCGTTATTTTAGTAGCATAGCTTCTAACTAATCGCTGATTGGTTGGGGCTCTTTATGAGCCTCTGGAGGCTCTGATAGAGTTCCTGTATAATTCCTGTTTATTTGTATCTTAGTAGACATAACACATTGGAATAACAAATTTGCAGAGTTCGAGTTAAACTTCCTTATCTTCTGTCTCTCGCTTTATGATAGCTACATCCATTGGCCTAGTAGATTACACACTGGGCTTCTCCACAGCTCTATCATTCAGGATTTATATTTTATCACTAATTATGTTGAATTGTCCTTTAAAAACTTAATAAAACGTACTGACATGTATAAGGAAGATATACTATTCTAGTTAATAATAACAAAATCATAGAAATTGGTTAACACTTTCGATCATACAAAAATGAAATAAATCAACAAAAGGATAAACCTACTGGATCAGCTAAAATAATCACTTGTACAGTAGCTTTTCCTGGAGTATCCAAGCTGACTAAACGAGTAAGAATCGTTTCATTTTTTGAATCCATCGTTTTTTGTAAAATTGGTAACTATTGATAAATTATTAATTATGTTTAGAACAAGTTTTACTTGACTACTTGGGCATGCAAAAGCTATACGACCAAATGCGCTAGCATGATCAATAGGTTTTTGAATGGAAATTAGTTTTAAAGTACACTGATTTGGTGAATAACAAAACACTGCTTCATCTGAACTAGATGACACAAGTGTCATACCAAGTTTATGAGACCAATAATCTGTAAAATAGTAAAAGAAAATTTTTAGGAAGGAGAATGGAAATACAACATACCAGTGGATCGTTTAAGATTTGAAGTAGCTAAAGCCACCATTCGAACTGGATCCCCATCACTATCACAGTTATGCACCCAAAATGCATATCCACCAGGAGCTTCCACTTTTACTGAATCTGACTCTTTCAATGTGATAAGCCATAATCCACCGATAATTCTTGAATATGCATCCTTATTATGAATACGAATATACTGTTATCATTTAGGCCAGATGAAACAGACAATAAAAACACACCTGAAAATCATTACCAAGTTGATAAGCACCAATCCCATAATTATAAGTCAACTCAACGACAAAATGATTATCCTCAGGTCCATAACCTATCATGGTTTTGCTCCACTTCCCATCATATGGTCTAAATGAATGATGTAAATCAATATGGATTAAGGTTAACTACCCGTTACATGAAGCCTTACAACCTTCAGTAAATTCTTCATGTCGTAACACCTGTGAAGTAACCAAGCGACAAGTAAATGAGAAACAAATAATGATCAAATTATGAAAAAATATTTCAGCGCTCATACCATATAGAATAACCTCAACTTTTCGATTCATTTACTAATGGATCAAAAATGAAATTAAGGAACCAAAGTGACATGCTGATGTAAACTAATAAGCTCTAATTTCCAGTCGTATTTTTTACCAGCTAGACTATAACATATAATGATCAACTATTTAGTGTTTCAGCCAGTTTCGACCAATGACTGTTTTGTCAGGAAAAGAGGGTCGTTTTACGAATTAAAAAGCTAAATACATTCCTTTTTCAAATCAAACCAAGTATAACTGCAGTACTGGGTTTATTTTCAAGATAATTCCTAAGGCTTCGTGGATCACTTGTCCCGATAACCGTTGTTTGATAACATCCAATGGTATACAAATTTCAGAAAACAATACGAAGCATCGACTATATATTATCATTATACAGCGCAGATCACAAAGCCACAGTAACACAAAGGGAATATGAGCAAGCGAACAAGGAGCGAGTGAATTGACAAGATTTTAGAAGCACATATATATAAGAAAGCAAATGAATCATCGAGAGATTTAAGCAACTGTAAAGAACGAGAACATAAGTGAGGATAACCAGATGCATTTTGACACAACATTACAGAATATCTTGCTACAATCTGAGAATCATACAGTAATACCCCATTTGCAAAATACCCATCAATTATCTCAGAATTTGTTGTTCCTTCATTTCCATATCAATCACTTTCTGTTGTCATTCTCTTCTCTTCAATTTTCTCAACCTTCTGCCGCCAGGCATTCCACTTTCGAATGGTGATACATACTACTTATGTCTATCGATATCAGCAGCACACACGGCACAACCAACACTTAGACTTTCAAGAAGGATGTGGGTAGGTTGTAACACGTGGTCAAGCATACATGATAACAATAACACAGAAATACAGAAGAAAGATTACACCATAGGACTGAATAATCAGAACGAATAATAAGCGTCTGAATATAGGGAAATATATTTCCTAGAAGATATCTTATTGGCTTCGGCACTCAAATTCTAGTCACTAACCACGTTTCGTACTCACTTCAGATTGGAAGGCCTTTAACCACAAAATAGTTACACAAATCTGAGTTATATTTCTCTAGCTACTTTGAAAAGAGAAGCCGTCAAGTTATAATCAACTTTTATTTTGCCTACTTTTAATTTAGTATAAACATCTCGCTAGATTTAATCGAATCAACATGATTTTGTCCACGTGAATAAACGATTTCATAGTTAGTATCTATTATCGTGATACAGTTTCAATCCACTTGGTATTCACTATAAATCAAAAGACATGCTATTAAGTGTCATGCAGCCTTTAAAAGAACACGGATCCCATGGATACTGTATTGATCAATTATAAATATCTTAAGAAGAAATATGCTTTTTATTTCATCGACCTCAATTCTAATCAAAAGTTATTTTTAATTCACCTCTAATTAAGAACAAATCCACCAGAAAAATTTTCGAGAGTATGAACAGCATAAGAGCTTCACTGAATAAATTAGGGTATGTCATCAAACCCTAATGCTTAGAGATTTAGTGACAAATAGATTAATACGGTTCTAATCAACGATAAGCGAACCCGGCCCCAAGACAGCCGAATTTAACAATCGTTTAGTTTATTGGTATATTTTATTTTGGTTGCTCCTAGTAAACTTTCAGACCAACCCTTTACTAGTCACCATCGTGCGTCAATAAACACAATAGTTACATACAACTCTCATCCTAGACAACCTGGCCGACAACAATTTACAGTCTTGTCCACTGAATAAACATCTTTACCTTATACACTACATCTAATATCCATATTACTCACCTCATGGTTTACTTTAAATGACAGGAAAGCCATACACGATTTTGAAAATTAAGTTCGCTGATAGGGACGAACAAAACTACTATACATGTGATAACTTTCGCCTCAAATACTGTGAAACTATTCGCTCTCATTTAGACGAGAGTTCTCATATATTTCGCCTTAATAGCCTCAATTTTACACAACTACAGCAAAACTGATTATACTACTAACTAAAATACTTCATAGGAAAAACGTATTTTACTTCCAACTTGAGATTAACAGTTTCATTAGGCAACTGACTCTTTTTTCTCATTGCAAATCATAAGACACTAAGCTTGTTGATTATTATATTTATGTATCTTCTAAGAAGCCTCTTATTTTCATCAAATGTCTGTTAAATAAGCAGTAATATAAAGTTAAAGAAAGACTGGACAGTTATATTACCTTTATCAATATCTTAAATATAATGTACTAACACTAGGTCGTATTTTAAGCCGAAGTTTTGGTTAACATAAGTTTTATCACTAAACAGAATATCAGCTCTGAAGCTTCAATGTGGAATTAATTTAAAAACAGTAGCATTAATTTCATTTAGTATTGTTTGTTTGAATCTTCCCATTGATGTGTTAAGACTGCAACTGGTCAGCCTTTTATTGGCTATGTGTGCATACTGTGCGTATTGCCTCGATATAGCCTTAATTCACAAGCATTGTAAGCAAAGATGGATAGTGGCTAGCAGTGAAATCCAGGACGCATGTTTCGTCCTATTTGGGACTCGTCAGCTGTATGTAAATTTTTATAAAATAACACTTCATCAAGTTAATGCGAATCCACTGAAAGACTAAACTATTTCTAAACCAGTTTACAGAAAATATTTGACCAAGGTGATAAAAATCTACTGAGTAATCGTTTGAGCTAACAAACTCAAAATGGTTAGAAAAACATTTATACGTTGACCTCTTAATTCTTATGTTTAATTATTGATAAGATTTTTGTTATAGTAATTTACTATTCTTACTACTATCAGTACACCTGTCTTCCCACTATCAACTTGTACTTTTAACTATTATTAGGCTTGGTAACGTATTCTATTTCATTGTGATTATTATTGACTCAAATAGCCTTGATTGGTCTAACATGTTCTTATAAATATTCATGTATATTAGAGTAAAGCCTGATGACGATCTAATTGAAAACAATTGTTCGCTTACATATGTTGTTCTAATTTTCACAATGGGAATCTTTAATATTTGTACGTTTATCGAATAATTAAACAAATTCAAAATAATTAAGCTCTTATGTGTGTATTGAAAAACGTGTAGTCAAGTGAACTTGTGGACTATAAAAAAATATATTCTTCAACCAAACATCAATATAATAACGCAAAACTAGCTTAAGTTTGCACCATTGTCACTTACATACACACACACACTTGTTTTCATCTAAAGTGCATACATACCTTCATTCCAAGAATCCGTTTGTAAAAATCAATTGTTTCATTACGATTGGCCACTTTGAAGACAAAGTGTAAAGCCCTGGTATGATTCATAGGAGGTGACGATTTAAAGTCGGTCAAAATGTTTAACTGCTTGAACTGAAATCCACTTATATGAAATACACGTCAAAGATTACAGTCAGAGCCTAAAATTAGAAACAATGTAGTTGCTATTTGCATTTTGAACGAAATTAGAAGTAGTACATTACGTAAAACGAATATAAACACGAAATAAAAATATAAATGACTTTAAACCTAGCACGAAGATGTGACGATCTTACTCCTTAGGCTACAGCAAAAAAGTGACAAGAAAAGCAAATGTTCAACATGAACCGAGAACAGAGGGAAATGCGCTTCCTGGATTCCACTGCTAGTCATATTCTATCTTTTTGTGTAAATGTGAACAAAAATCAGAAAAAACGAATGGAATCAGAGAATAAAATTTATTAAACAACCTCGTATTTAAAACTTTAGTAAAGGCAACCGATGACTAGATCTTCTTAACTGAAACTAATCTCATCAACATCACCGATTCTGTGGTTGTATATTACAACTGTCTTGAGGATCCTCTCAACATGGCTTATATCAACAGCTAGTGAAATTATAAACTTATAACTTATATAAATGATTATTTTGAGTGTGTGCTTCTAAAAATGAAGATATAGGTCTAAATATATCAATTTAACATAGTTTCATTTACAAAAGTAGAAATGAGAATAATCTATCAACAAAAAAGTATGTAAAATTTAATGAATTCTCAATTACTTGATTTACAAGTATTTTACAATATACATACACGTTCCTTGAATCTGAATGGGGTTGAGAAGACTGTTGTGACTTTAAGGCCAGCTAATCATCACGTGATTTATTCACCGATCGAAATGCGACTTATACAATCACAGTACTGTGCCAAGCCAATGACATTAGGTCGCTAGAGGAGTTTAGTGTCCTTATTGGTCCTTTGTTCGCCTAGCTCATCGAGTTGAGTCCAGAACACCAATAACAGCTCCCACTATATGAATCATTTATTTCAAACATACTTGGTTTATATATCAGCCAAAAAGACCGCATCATACCATAAAAAGTGAAATAACATCTATACAAGATCAAGTCAAGAAGTGGCTGTGAACGTGGAAAACGATAATTAATAAGCTGGGTATAATTTAAGATTAGTAAATCGTATCATAATAGTCTATAGGTCAAAATGAAGCTTATAATTATAGGAATATAGATGCTAATTTACTTGAAAAGATAATCCAAGTTAAGCTACTAAGTCACATAGAATCATACAATTTGTTGACTCTCGAGCAACACGGGTTTCAAAACAAATATTCATGCTTAACCAACTTAAATATTGAGAAGAAAAATTGGACAACAACCCTAGATAATTGCCTGTCTGTCGATGTGATATTCGCAGACTTTTTTAAAGCATTTGAAAAGGTTTCTCATCTAGGTCATATTCAGAAGCTCTCGACGTTCGGAATAACAGGTACCGCACAAGAATGGATAAGAAACCTTTTATGTGGCCAAAGACAGAAAGTAAAGGTAGATGGGACACTATCTGAATAGAAGCCAGTCAAAATTGGAGTACCTCAAAGCACCCTATTAGGTGGCCTACTTTTCATTCTCTACGTCAATGAATTCCCCCCGACTGCATATGTCATCGAAATTATTGTTTGCGGATGATGTCAAAATCTGGAGGACAGTAAGAAGTAAGGCTGGTCATTTTTTTCTCCAAGCTGACCTAGACGAATTAGTTAGGTAGTCCCAACGTTAAGGCTTAGAAACCAACTCTAGAAAGAGTGTGCTCATGCGTATCGGATACGGTGGTAGTTACCAGTATACTATTGGCGGTAAATCTTTTCCATGTGTGCAGGAACACAAAGACTTAGGGGTAATAGCAAGTCACGACTTGAAAACAACTACAGATTGCAATGCGGCAGCCGCCAAAGGTTTCCGTGCGTTATGGGAACAAAATTATGGAAGGTTCTTTTCAAATTCCCTTACGACGATCACTTAAAATGCCCAATCCTTTTCCCCTTATCGTATCATAGAAAGCAAAGTGACCTATGGTTACAACTTGGGCGTTATTATTTCTTATCTTTTTGATCCCTTCAGCACTAATAATCTCCGATGTCATAGCATGAAGCTTCACAAACCGCGATCTAATAAAATTAGGAATGGGATTCCGTTTGCCTCATTGACAGTTCAATGACTGAAACGCCCCACCCGAACAAGAGGTGTCAACCCCATCAGTGAAAAGTTTCAAGGAAAAGCTGGATCTTTATTGAAAGACAAACTGAAAGGATCAGCACAGGTCCACTAACCTACTATCCTTATCACTGAAGACTGAAAACAGGACTGGATCAAAACCATCAACCGCTACACCGAAATTGAAAAGGCAGTAAAACAGGACCTATGAGACTAAAAAACCACGTTTTTTATAGATCCCGTGAAATACTTCATCTTAATGTCTTGAAAATTCTCGAAAATTAGTGGTTTATAGGGATATATGCATATCTATGGGTAAATTAAAAACTATTAGTGGTACTTCACTCCAAATAATAAACTAGCCATAAACTGAGACGTGAACACTCATGCTTATAACAGTCCTTAAGATGTTTGTTTTGAATGAAAACGTATTAATCTCCATCCAAACAAGAAGCATATGTCTGATAACTCGTGTAATGCGCACATGACCTAAACGGCCTCTCACTAACTATATGAAAACAAGCCTAAGATATCATATTTACTTCTTTTATCTGAATTTCAAGCTTTTTCAGCAGGTATCGATATTGTAGGAAATGTTTGTTAGACATCAAAAAGTACATGGATATGGATTAATACCATGATAAACAGTAAAAACGCGGAAAATCACGGATGAAACCAAGAATCGTTAATGCGAAGCAAGTGTGTTGTATGAATTAAGGGATTAACCGGCTACCTCATGAGCGATAACTGCTTTCCGCGCAGATCGTCGTCCTTGAGTGACGCTGGAAAATGCTCTCAGATAATCAATCATCAATAGTGAAGACAAAATCCAAGTTATCGGTCCTCACTAATAAACATAGTGGGTTGTTGGACCTGTGTTTATCCATGAACCTTCTTTACTAAAGAAGACTGAGATTATTCTTGCAAGTGTTCACTGATAGGGCTGATACCACTTGTTCCGGTAGGGGCGGTTCCAGTCATTGACTACTCGTTGACATAAACGGAACCCACTGTGATTTTAGTCAACCAAGTTTTTGAACCTTATTCTTGTGTCTTCGGAGGTGATTAGTGCTGAAGGGAGCAAAAATATAAGAAATGTTAACACCCAGTTTATGTGTTTCAATGTGCGTTCCCTAGCTAGATTGTGTTTTACCTCATTCGGATGCTTACTACATATCCAGCTCCTTGTATTTTCCCAGTATGGCGACCAACTGAAGCATCAGAATATCTGAAGCTTCTCATTTTCCTCCTGGTAACTTCCGATGCGCGACCGTATTACTAGTTTCTGTATCGTATATATAATCGTATATATACATATCGTATATATACATATTTTTCAAGTGTTTCTCGAGAAGAAGCTTGAAATTCCGTCGGTTTGTAGTTTGACTCTTTCTCCATAGTGAATCGTATGTGAAAGGAGTTGTTCACCAGATTGTAAACGATTTTCAACAAGTACTTTTTCACGATGAGGAATTAGTCGTCTACATAACGAATCCTTATTTTTGGCTTGACCACCGGTAAGATCGAAGCTTTCAGCTTCTGCATCACTGCTTCTATAATATGTCCTCATACGGATGATCCCATCGGTGTTCCTGTCGTTTACTCATAGATTTTGTTACTGATTTGAAAGTACGTTGTTGACTTTGAAGCTTCGTGTACTTCGTGAGATTCAAATCATTGGTGAGTAGTGGGGATAGAGTTTTCTTTGAGGTGAATAAAGCTGTTACATAGCTGTTACAATTCGTTGTTGTCAATCTAAATCGTCTCTATCTCATCCAGGAATTGTGTAGGAGATTGGCTGGAGTGATCGGATTGTAGATCATCAGCGTTGATGATCTAGGTCGAAATGATTCAAGCCTACTCGAGTTAAACGAGGACGGTGTAACGAATAAGCTAACTTCGAAGTTACACCTCTCGACCAGCACTTTACGTGGATCACCCTATCGACGTATTAGGGGATCATGGGTGCTCTGAAGACTGTACAACACAAAGGACGTCATTACAAGAATATATTAGTTAAAGGAGATACAAGCGAAAGTACAACCACTGCCGCGTGGGCCAGTCCATGGCGTATAATTGATTGATGCGCGTTTACTGTCTTTGACCTTGACAAGGATCGATGATCTGTTCGATATTCAGTGATCCAACTGCCGAATGATTTGGCTAGGGTTCAGTGACATTTCACTGACCCTACAGGATAAAGCCACTGTTTCAATATCCATGAAAATTTTCTCAATAGATTACAATTTGGGGTTCCGGGGAGTGGATCACTCAAACGTAGTGGAATGTATTTTTAGGCTACTACAGAATCAAGAGAGCAATAGTCCATTGAATTAAATTCTCCATTAATCTTGCTTTGATATTTGTTCTTCTCTGACGAGCTTGTTTAAAGTCTTCGATTATTTTACATACGCTTTTATCCTCAAGCAGTTCCTCGATATTCAAGACATACTCTTTCTTGTCCATAATAAACTGTACTGTGCCCCTTTCCACTGTAACTATGACCATTTATTCTCTAGTTCTCATGAAGCCAGTTGTCTTTGTTCCTCCGAGTTGGTGGTACTATTGTTTGGCCTATTTTCTCTCCAGTTCCTTCATTTGTAGATTAGGACTCAGTGGCTGAGTGGATAACGCGATGGCGTTTGAAGCAAGGGTACTGAGTTCGAGTCCCAGAGTGAACATCAACTCTGAGATGCAAGTATATCCAGCTGACGAGTCCCAAACAGGACGAAACGCTTGTCCTGGATTCCACTGTTAGTCACTATCCATCTCTGATAGCCAGCCCCAAAATACCCTGGTACGGCCGAGAGTGGGGAGAGTCCACTCTCACTCTCGAAATACTCTCACATGGCCAGCGAATATACAGCCTCTGTCAGGGAAGTCCTACTCACTGCCTTCTCATGGCACCAGTGTTGTTTACGAAAGTGAGAGGACAAAAAGCGAATGCCTGGCGCTTTAACCGGGTTGGTGGACACGAAAAGTTCACCTAGGGAAGTTGGAAAATCCTGATTCCAAACCAATGGTGCACATGGGCTCCAGTATCCTGATGGAACGAATGGCGAATGAATCGGTCGTTGGTCACCGGCTACCATGGGACTGCATCTCCAGACGATTCTCCACCGCCTTGTGGATCAGACCTTTTGGTCAAAGGCTCAGGGTGTGGCCCCCTAAGAAAACCACCTGTTTCGGTTTGGGCACCCGGGCAGTATCACAGCCCACACACAAATAAATGAAATGATAAATTCCATTGACGATATTATTCTCGCTCATATTAGTAGCAAGGCAATTTACACTATTATTATTATTACCATTATTATTATTATTATTATTATTTACTACGTCATTTTTTCACTCCCTTTATCCCCAATTTGTGTAACCTTACTTTTCAATATATGCAGCAGCTCGCCCATGATGGAAACACTGTCCTATCTGAACGATCTCCAGTCACTGTCTGGTTGAAAGTGAATGCTTCCACCGATTACGAACACTGAAGCAGTCTTTCTGAAACCACATACGCCGTTCAAGCTGGCTTCCATCAACGTTCGCACACTAATGCAGATCGGACAACAGGTGGGGCTGGCTATGTCTTTAGAAAGTCTTAATGTTGATGTTTGCTGTCTATCGTCTGGTCTTGCAGGCGTTGGTGTTGCACTAAGCGCTAGGGCTGAGGCAGCACTAATCGATTGGATCCCCGTTAACAATCGGTTATGTGCTGTTTGTTCTGCCTCTCATGGCGGGTGACGACTGATCCACCAAACGAGGCGGAAGTCCGCAAGGAACTCCAACTCTTGAAACGTTACAAATCACCGGGCTCAGATGACTTACCTCCGGCTCTTTTTAAAGATGGTGGTGACTTTCTGGCTAAGGAACTGACTGCGTTGTTTGGAAAGGTTTGGGAGCAAGAAAGTGTTACAACATCATGGAACGAGTCAATAGTCGTCCCTATCTTTAGAAAGGGTTCGGGTTGTTCCTGTAATAACTATCGGGGGATAAGTCTACTTCAGATTGCGTCCAAACTATTGGCTTCTGTCATTCTTCGTAGGTTGTTTAAAACCCGAGAACGATTGACTCGCGAGGAGCAGGCTGGTTTTCGTTCTGGTCGAGGATGCATTGATCACATCTTCACCCTCCGTCAAATGTTAGAACACCGTCATACTTATCGCAGGCCAACTATCGTAGTGTTTCTTGATATCAGGGCGGCCTTCGATTCGTTGGACAGGACTGTTCTCTGGGATTGTCTATTGAAGAAGGGTGTGCCTGAGAAGTTCATTAACATCTTAAAGGCCCTGTATACGAACACCTCAGGCAGAGTGAGAGCATACAACCACCTTTCCCCCTTGTTCCATTCGAGCAGTGGGGTTAGGCAGGGTTGCCCGATCTCACCATTCCTCTTCAACTTTGCCATCGACGACATCCTGGAAACAGCCCTGGTGGATGTAAGTAATGGCGGTGTGGATATGTTGCCTGGAGAACGACTTCTCGACCTCGAGTATGCGGATGATATTGTCTTACTGTGCGATAATGCCCAGGGCATGCAATCAGCACTTAATCAGTTGGCACTCAGTGTCCGCAGGTACGGCATGTGCTTTGCACCCTCCAAGTGCAAAGTACTCCTACAAGACTGGCAGGATTCTAATCCTGTACTCACCCTGGATGGTGAGGAGATCGAAGTAGTTGAGAAGATCGTGTATCTAAGTGCTGGTGGTGGCGTGACTGATGAGATCGATGTACGTATAATGAAATCCAGAGCGGCTTATGCCAATCTGGGCCATCTTTGGCGCCTTCGTGATGTTAGACTGGCTGTAAAAGGTCGGATCTACAACGCGTCGGTGAGAGCAGTTTTGCTCTATGCTTGTGAAACCTGACCTCTCCGAGTTGAGGATGTTAGACGTCTCTCTGTGTTCGATCATCATTGTTGTCTCCGAAGGATTGCTGACATCCAGTGGCAACACCATGTTAGTAATGCAGAGGTTCGGCATCGTGTGTTCGGGCACAGAGACGATAATTCAATTGGTGTCACCATCTTGAAACACCGACTTCGGTGGCTTGGACATGTTTTACGAATGTCGTCCCAGAGACTTCCACGTCGTGCATTATTTGCCGACTCTGGGACTGGTTGGAAAAAGCGGAGAGGGGGTCAGTGTATGACATGTTGTCGTGGCCTGAAATAGAACTGCAAAGGGCTAGCTTCTGTTGATCCTTCACGACTCCCTGGTTGGGGTCCGAGAGATGGTGCAACACAGTGGCTAGAGACGTTATCGGATATGGCTTAGAATAGAAGCCAGTGGCGATCCTGCTGCAACCTTCTTTTACCTTCTACATAAAGAGTGGTTTAAAATTTCTTAACTGAAAGAGTTTTCTGGTTGTACATTTCAGCCCGCCTTATCTTTTCATCCCTTCTCTTCCTACTTTCATTATTTTGTGTGGCGCATATGTATCTGGTGCCCTTTTGTACCAATATATATGTGTTTAAATAAATAAGTAAAAATAAATTTGTAGTTATTTTGGAGTAATGGTTCCAGTACAGAAAAGTTTAGTAGTTTTGAGGCGTCAGTTGTATTGTACTTCCTTATTTTTCGGGGCAAGTGTTCCACGTTTTTCAGAGATTGATTTAACAAGCCCATCACGCAGTTGTTCATGACTTCTTATGTAAATGGCTCTGAAATCTTGATAAGTCTTATCTTGAAAGTAATCGGTCTTTGTTCTCTGTTTTGTCTACCTAATATTTAGACCACCGTTGTGAAGATTGCCAAATT